TCTGAACTTCTTTTTTTAGTGTAAAACATATTTTTGACCCACTGAGAGGAATGCGAGGAAATGGGAATTTCCCATCAAAACAAGCCATTTCATCAAACTACCCAGGACCAACCCGTCTTCTGGGTTTCATGGTCAGGCAACGGAGAACTGAGACAGCTGTACTTCAAGCCTGACCTATGGCCTCTGACCTTTTCAGTGGATGCTGATTTAGAGTGACAGGCAACCAGTAATGACTAGTGCAGAGGTGCAATAAAAGTGTGTTACATTATTCATTCATTACAGCAGCAGCCTCTTCCAGGGAGGTCAGAGATCAGGGTCAAGAGGCAGCAACAGGGATTTACTGCTCTCTCAGTGACGTATAAACAGGGTGAACTGATGCAGACAGATGCCACAAAGTATTGGGAAAGATGGATGCAAAACACCCATCCATTTATTGTCTCGGGCGAGGTAAACCCCGGACAGCTGATAGTCTAACACACATGTCCTTGGACTGTGGAAGGAAGCTGGAACCCCAGCCAACCACATTATTCAAAGCAGGTGAGAGGTGCTGACCATCTGATTTAGATACTACAGACAGAAATCATCAAGTTGGAAGCTTAAAGAAAGGGTAGAATTTATCTGGGAGAAAAATTAACAAGTCTTCATTTCATTAAAAACAAAAGGTATGATCAGTGTCTACATAATTCATCCTCTGGAGAACAAAAATATCTGAGACATCTCAGGGCTCTCACTGCCTCTGCTGTTAAGACATTTTATTAATAACCTAACATAAACCACCATGAGGTGCTAAAGAAAAGTCAGGAGATCCTCATAGTCCATAGGATTCATCCTCTGGGGAACGTGGCAATCATGTCACTAAAAGCAGCACTGCTAAGCAAAGGGATTATCATCATACATAGAAAGTGTTTGCTCGTTTCCTTTTTTACCTACCACGTGGAAAATCCCTGGTTCAATCCTGGTAGGAGACACAAATCTCTCTGGAGTTGTGGCAGGAAGGCCATCTGGTGGAAAAAAAAAAGAAAAAAAAAAGAAAAAAGAAAATCTGCTGGTTCAAACATGTGAAGCTACCTGCTGTGGTGACCCAGTGTGAGTAAGGGAGCAGCTGAAAGTCACTTTATCAGATTCATCCTCTGGGAGTCATGAATATATGTGTTAAGTGTCATGGCAGTCAACTCGAAATACTTTCAAAAATTATTTTTAATTCGAACTCATCATGACATCAAACAATCTTATTCGAAGAGCCTAAAAATCCCAGTTTAAATAATAAATAATGTGAAATTCGACTGCAGATCCTGCAGAGAGAGTATACTTACAATGCCCATGTGAAATAATATACCTTTATGCCACAAAGCCAACATGAAAAAGTCCTAAATCCCAGCTGAACTTCAGCACCTTTCTCATGTAGTGGAAACACTTTGAAGCTGGTTGAGATTTGGCTTAAACTCACTGAATCCCCTGAATTATTATTTGAAGGTGTTCCCAACTGAGTAGATATGAATGTGTGTGTATGGCTGGACCTTTAGCCACACAGCTGTGGAATTTGGTCAGTGGGTGAGGCCTATTAGTGCATAAAGCTGGCCAGTGGCACCTCGCTGCTAGTAAGTATGCAGGCTGGTTTGTTCGGAGAAAGAAGGAATTCATTTGTTTATATTTTCTCATAAAAGGAGAGGAAGCACAGATTGTTGCCTTGTAGTTTCCAGGTTTTATGAAAACTAAGCCATCCCAAAGAAGCTGATGCCTTTTAAAGAAAACATTATTATATATCAACAAATTTTATTTGTTATATTCTCAAATGGCACATAAAACTGCCCCTTTGTATTCATTTTCATCATGAACAGCTGTAAAAGTATATCACATGAAAAGAGTACACCCCGACATTTACCACACCTCCATCCATCCATCCATTCGCTTCCGCTGATCATTTTTTCAGGGTTGCGGGGGGTGCTGGAGCCTATCCCAGCTGTCATAGGGCGAGAGGCGGGGTACACCCTGGACAGGTCGGCAGTCTGTCGCAGGGCTAACACATAGAGACAGACAACCAGTCACACTCACATTCACTCCCGCATTCACATCTTGGGCAATTTAGATTTTCAATTAACCTATCCCCACAAAGTGCATGTCTTTGGACTGTGGGAGGAAGCTGGAGTATCCGGGGAGAACCCACGCAAACACGGGAAGAACATGCAAACTCCACACAGAAAGACCCCGGCCTGATGGTGGAATTGAACTCACATTTACCACACCTTCAAATCTATTTATAGTAGTATAAGGTGTATGAGATTAGGCCTATTAGGCCTATTTAAACTATGAATTCTCCAACATATCAGAGGCTGCCTGAACATAATGTGTCAGTCTGTCTGAAAATTGCAGATTCCAAAGTAGACGTTTGATCCGGATAATGATCTTAAGCTGACCAGCAAATCCACCAAGGAATGGCTCAGAAAGAATAAGTGGAGGCTTAATGAATGGCCTCGATTTTAATACTGTTGAAATGTCACGGGTGACTTTAAATAGCCATGATTTTGACAGGAGCCTATCATATATGTTGCAGCTGAAGGAATTTTACATCGACAGCAGTGGTGCTATGGGTGAGCTGTGGGGGTCAGGGCCATCGTACAAGTTAGCTGAATTCATACAATCATATTTTTACAAATATCAATATAATTATGTCATGGAGGTTGGTAATGAAAATGTTAACGATCCACATT